GCTTTTGCTGGAAAGGTGGCGAAACGTGCGCGGCGCAGCGGCCCCTGGCCGAGGTTGGAACGCCCCATGGCACCACCGCATCGCATGCCCGGCGTGCATCAAGCAGGGCACTTTTTTTTTCTCGCTGTATCGAATTCTTTTGGGGTCGTGCCTCTCCTTTTGTGGCGCGCCCCGTGTTGAAGTTGCGCAGGGACGAAGGAGGACTAGGTATTCCCGACCTTAGCGTTGTGACCACGGCATTACATGTTAAATGGACACGGGTAGCTCTTGATTCAGATATGCTCCTTACTAGAAGCTTCGCATCGTATTTCCTGAGCACCAGGCTGAGGTTGTTCTCGCCTGGGGCATTTTCGAATTCCGTGCCTCGGGCGGGAACGCCTTCTGCCTTCTATGCAGGGGCCGCTTCTACTTTGGCCCGTCTCCAAGAGGTCGACCCGGAGATAGATTTAGATTCAATCGAACTCCGCGAGTTAGTCGATAGACTCGCTCCCGAGTTACCTGAACGCTATAGAGAACACGACCTGTCCGAATACAGTCCTAACTGGCGGTTAATTACTGCCAGTTTCCTGGACGCCAAGCGCGCTACATTCATGTATCGCCTGGCCAGAGATCGCCTGCCTCTAAGGTTCAGGCCCTTCGCAAGAATTGCTCAACGAGGAGTGTGCCCTTTTTGTGGCACTAGGGAGGACCTGGTTCACGTGTTCTCTCAGTGCGCACTACCAGCTGCCCTCCATCGAAGGATAGCTAGCTTGTTTGGCCACCCAGGTGTTCCTTTCAACACCGTTCGTTTTCTCCATCCCCTGTCGCGACAAGCGGCTAAGCAATACGTGCTTCTGCTTGTTGAGTGCTTGTACCAAGTGTGGGTTGCACGGTGCTGTGCCGTCTTTGACGGCAAGCGACCCGGGCTTCACGAAGTGCTTGCAAAAGTACGGAAGGAGGTCTGGTTCGTTCTCCACCGAGAGTGGCAGCACCTAGGTGCAAAGAAGTTTTACGAGACGTGGCACCGTCCGGCAGTGATTTTCAGTGAGGCAGGAGGGCAGATAACCATCAACTTCTAATGATGGCTTTCTCTAAGGCTCCACGACTAGGCCTAGTGAGCCAGTCGCCCCCGAGTTTGGTCTGTACGGTCTTTCACCCGAGCTTCGCATGCGCTAAGGTGATCCTGTCACCTTGTCGGGCTTTACCCGCAAGGTCCGTGTTTGCCCCTTCTGTAGGCTCGGCTACTTTACTCGTCGAGGCGGAAGGTGGTTCCCTTCTTCGAGAAGGACTAAGCCGGCTTTCAGCCGTGCCGGTTTCCGTGGGTACGTCTGGTTTGCGTGCAGCGGCACTGGCCTCTGCACCCAATAGTAGTCCCGTAGACCCCACAGGACGGATTGTGTCTTACTGCGCCCTTGTGGTGAGGAGACGGGCTATGACTGTAAAGCGCCTCGCGCTGAGCGATAGCCCATCCGCCCTGAGGGGGTGTCGTCGCAGGCTCTCAGCCGCGAGACAGTGTGAGGGCACGGGCACTTTGGTTGTGGTGACTGAAGTTACTGCGACCGAGGGCGGTCCCGCTGCCACGTTTTTGGGTACGTCCGCTTTGCGTGTGGTGGCGAGAGCTACCGTGCCGAAGGGTAGCCCCTGTGTCAAGTCTCGCTGGGCCCTATCGGTCAGGAGACGGGCCATGACCGCAGCGCACCCTACGCACTGCGATAGCCCACCTTGCCGGGGTACGTTCACTTTGCGCGTTGCGACTGAAGTTGCTCCGCCAGAGGGTAGTCCCTTTGTCGGGCCTCCCTGGCTTGTATGCCGGGAGGCAGGCCGCGTCTGTTGGGCGCCTGGCGCCGAACGGTGGCCCCCTTGCCAGGGCATGGCCGTCTGCCCGAAACAAACCTTCCCCCCACACAGCCCTGGGGGGGGGGGGGGGGTGGAGCCGGGACAGACGTAGGATGATGATGGGTTGATGAGTTAAGTGTGACTCTGGGACAAAGCGTTTCAGCGCCGCGTCTCCTTCCTATCTGACAACGGCTCCGACCGTCGGACGGCCGCATCCAATGAGAGCTCGGGAGACGCCGCCGGTGGCACCCTGTTGCCACTGCGGTCACCGTCATCACGTTCTAGAAACTTTGACGGTGAAAAGCGATAAGCGCTAGAAATTATTAGTCTGCAATATAAGCGCGTCCTTTGAGGCACGTGATCATTATAAATGAAGCAGCATTTTTGTTCATTTTTCATAAAAATTTAATAAAATATGGGTCGTACGCGGTCGCTCCAAACTGAAATGCCGTTTAGTAAAGAATTCTTTTTTGTGGGAATATAAGTGAAGCTTTTGCCAGTAGAATGAACAAAAATGAATGATATCTGATCAATACTAGTAACAGAATGATTAAATTGCCAAAAAGCATGCACTAGCACTAGAAACACCTTCGTATAACTTATAATAAATCTTGCGAAAATATTTCGTTTATTGAGGTTCATTGCACGCCTACTAACTTGATAAAAGCTGCGCGAAGTTATAATTAAAAAAGGATTTCTACCATACAAGTTATAAGTGTTGGCGTAGAGAAATATCGTAGAAATATACGTTCGGAGAAAGTCAACAAAGACATTCTAAACAGGTGCTGTGCTTACACAAGGTGATCAGGAGCGCTAAAGTTTTGAGTGTATGTAGCCAGTACCCCCGTGACCTTAACTTCTGAGTGCCTTTCCTCGAGCGGCAAGTTTCTTGACGGGGCCACGAGGGGACACTTATACGATTCAATGCTGATCATTTGTGAGGTACGTTTTCGCTGCGTAAAGGCCAAGGTTCAAAATAAAGTTTTCCACTAGGCTTCACACCTTAATGCATTTGAGCCCCGCGGCGATGGTCTAGTGGCTAGGGTACTAGGCTGCTGATCCGCAAGCCACGGGATTGAATCCCTGCTGCGGCGGCTGCATTTTCGAAGGAGGCGGAAATGCTGTAGGCCCGTGTGCTCAGGTGTTCGAAATTTCTGGAACCTTCCACTACCGCGTCTCTCATAACCCTATGGTCGTTTGGGACGTTAAACCCCACATATCAATATTATTAGGGCATTTAATTTCAACTTTTGGACTTGCTCGCTGAATTTCATGCCGACCGGTTGCGCCTCCGCGATCTCCGACGACAGTGCAGCTCTGGCCGACTGGCTCACCCTATGCCGTCTCCTGACGCCGTGAAGCTCTCGCTGAGTGGTGCCCCGTTCTCGGACTATTGTGACCGTGTCCACCTTTCCTATCTTCACCTTATTTCTTTGTGTGTGTCTCTCTTTCCCTACCCCTATCTTTATGCCGATCCCTTTTATTCCTCCCTATCCCTTTTAATCCCTCCCTATCCCTTTTCATCCCTCCTTACCCTATCCCTTGTGAGTCACTGCTGAGGTGTCGCACAATAATGCAGAGTTACGGGGCTCACTTTTTTATTTTTTCTCTCTTTTAAGAATCACCTATATATTTAATCTTTATGAAAGGTATCCAATGGTTAACTCACGCATACGCCACCACTATTATGCCACGGCTGAATCGTCAGACGCATTTCGCCATTCTTTTGCTGGTACGAAATTGCTTATTCATTGAATATTGGCGTGCACTTACGCTGTCGACAATATAAAGAAAAATTAGAAGGTGAGCCCCCAATTAGCGATCTCTCAGGTCCTAACAATTTCTGGTTAATGCAATGGCTCTTTTGCTTTAGACAGAAGAGGCCACAGCTGAAACGCAACCGGATGCTCATCTGGTTAACTTCCTTGCCTTTCCTCTTTTTGTTTATTCCTTCCTTCCTTCCTATACAACACTCTTTACGCACCATCAGTGTTTACCTGCGAAATTTAATTCTTTACATCTCGCTTCGATATGTAGCTTGTAGTCAAGAAAGAAATGAGAGATGCTTAGCACACTTCAAGCATCACTTTATTTAACAGTAAATTATTTAATGTCGACAACAAAGTTAAATTCTTCTCTCGCTTTTTTTTTTTCATGCCACTGACATCGGGAAATGTCACGGGGTTCAGAGCCGCTGGAGTGAGAAGAAATGAACCAACAACAAGGGAGCCACTAGCTACGTGACGTCACACATTTCCCGCGCTCTCTTGTTAGCCGCTTGCAAACATGCAGCGCATTGGTTGCCCGTGCGGTGTGTGAACTGACTGCATTGTGTGTAAACCTGTTGGACGTATGTCAGGTGCGACTGTTGTCGTGAGTAGCGGTACGGCTAATCACATCCGAATTCGTTGCATGTGTCCAGTGCTTAATCCCGAGTGCCTGGCTAGTCAACGATAGACACACCTTCGCGGTATCCCAGCCTAACGTGGGAAAGCGGAGCCCGTTAATCAGTGTATCACTGTGTCGAAAAATAGCAATCCAAGGCACTATGCGCCTGTTTAAATTGCGTTTATCACCTGTGTGAGGCGCTGCATGCGCAGCCAATTACAGGGCCAAAATTGGTGTAGCAAAGACAGCCACCCCAAATGAGCAATGTTCGCACAGAAGTGTATTTTCGACCGAATAAAGGAGTCCTAGAAAATATCCAGTAAGATTTCTGGTGCAGCTGGCTATCTTGATTTTGGTCAGCTGCCCATAACAATTGACAAACATTTTTTAAGGGGCAGGGGGGTTTTAACCTCGTACCCCAATCCGTCCCTCTAGTTCACGCAGCACTTTCCGCCACCAAAAACAAAAGAAGATATCTACCACTGCGAACCAAAAAGAAGGTAAAATGCAAAGATGTGGGTCCATTTCACATAGCGTCCTGGAAGACGACAGTTCACTGCATGCACTCACGTTTGTGTTCTCACTGATGTTCGGTGCTTATCGGCCCGGTGGTCGACACTAGCACGTTCAGGCTCAAATATTTGGAAGGTGTCCTAACCGTTTTGCGAAATCAAGGGCGCGTAACAAGCAATCATGCAGCTTCGCGTTAAAAATTAACATATCTTACGTTCTCCACTAGTGTGGTGAATCTGCATGCTTCATAAAAACAATGAGTTCTGGAAGGAGAGAACGCTCACCTTTGGAAAGCGATCACTTCTGTCCCACGGAAATGAGAGGTGCTCGTGTTGAAGAGGCTGTCCAGCTGCGTGTGAAGTCGATGGTTAGGAAATGCAGCAGTAAACGCATCTATACTCACCTTGGCCCGGTACGCATCTGCTTTGTGCAAGAAATCCTCGGTCAGGCTGTTGAGCAAGCTGTCGCGGAACTTGTCTCCTTCTAGAACAGTGAAGGTGCCCCGGTAGACACGCTCTGCGCATAACACTGCTTTGTCATCCCAGCGCCATGTCGCATTTGGACGTCGTGTTGGCAGCCAAATCAGAATTAACCGTTTTACACTGTCCTAGTGATCATTGCCCTCACGAAGGATAAGATTCTAACAACTATCAAGGACCGTCTATCACAATTCAAAATTTCCTTCCTCAGAATTAGAATCATGCAATTACAGCTCTGAAGTTCAAGGAAACGTTTAATAACCACTAATATTGTAAGCAACTCGACATTCTGTCGCATTTTAAATCAGTTAAATATCACTATATATAAAAATGAGACAAAAATCTAAGAATATTTTTTACTCTACGTACCTAGTCCGCATATGCTACTAGAAAAAAATTAATGAAACGAATACGCAAACCAACTAGACACTAACGGGGCGGAGGGAGGGCAGTAATCTCTTACTCCATCAGAAAAGCAAGATCTCCGAGAAAGCTCCACTAAGCTGCGCATCGCAAGATTCGTCACTGAAGATTAACTCGATCAAACATGTGAACAGCAAGATCAACAATGTACACCAAACTAAGAGCTTTTTTTTTTTGTTCGCTGCAACTGGGGGTGCAACCTTTTTCTCCTGCATATCCTTCCCTCTCAAAACTTCACTTGGCTCTGCCCTGCTCATTTTTCTTTTCTAATTGGCATTGCCTGCTATATGCTTATGGTGCAGGCCGAGGATTTGGTTTTTTTACCTCACAATAAAGAATGTGTTAGTGATCCTCTGTGTTGTGAATACAAGACGAAAGCAGAACACAATCTAAGCATATGCGTGCGCTAATGTAGGTCGACGAAACAGCAAATTGCCACCCTTATGGGAATAGTTAAGTTACTGGTATCTCATGAATAACTTGACACTACATCGCACTAAGCCAAATGAGCTGAAAGAAACACAGCAAAATTCACAATCATGGCATTATCCTAAAACTTCTAGAGCAAAATGGTACTCTGATCATGCGCAAAGATTAGAAAAAAGTGATATTTTAATATTAAAACCAATTTTCACACGGCGCACCTTGTAACACCGACACTTGCGTGACGTCAAGCTATAGTGAAAATCGCATAGATTTAATATACAGACTGTAGAGAAAAAGCTGCCCATAGGGTCCATGCATTAGAGCCGATAGACGAGAGGACCCCTATCTTGCACCCAGGCGCCTTCGGCGGGATAACCTCGCTCCCAGAGACGCCATAATTTGTTTTCAGGTGCCAAGGCGTGCCTCACTTACACGGCAAGCAGTGGCTCTGGGACTTCAAAATGTGAAAAAAAAACGCCTGTTCAAGCTTCGCTAGCTTATAAGAAGACGTCTGGGTATCACAGCATCGTCTTCGGGTGCAAAAACAACCAGAGTAAGAGTAAGATATTATTAAGCAGTGTCTGTAAAGATCCCCACACGATGCCACAATCGTACCGGTGTGGTGTATCCTGATTGCACAGATTTCCATGCGCAATGAAAAACGCCGAGCTTCGCCGCCAGTGGATATAATCGCAATCGGCAGGAAAAACTACGAGTCCAGTAAAGGTGTACGAATAAATATTAGAATTGCGTTTACTCAAGCGCGACGCCAGTTGTTCCGCTTTACAGCAGCGTTTTGCGTGCATTATGCTTTCATAGTATGCGGCACCAAATCATGGCCGTACTTTTTCGCAAGCTGAATGCCAGTAATAGGATATATTATGACTCACGCGTGGATGCAAGCACCGTTCACGTATGAAATTGTAACGGCGTGCTATAGCGATGTAAAGAGACGTGAACGGCACGAAAAGCATAGCTTTCGACTCAGTCGAACTGCGGCATGTCTTGACTGGCTAGGCGAATCTGTGCTTTCGGTGGGCGTCACCGTATACCATTTTAAAATCTTGTTCTGGTTGGCACTTTCGCAATGCGTGTGTGTTCCGAGTACACGGCATGAGTGGCAAATGATAAACACAGGCAGTGGATGAGCGCAAGTAGGAGCGGGATTCTAGCGCTACGTTGACGCCGACCTACAGCACGAATTCGGCCTTGCCACAGTCAAGGCACGCCGCAGTGCGACTGAGTCGAAAGCAACGCTTTCCGCTGTTCGTGTTTCTTTCAATCGAAGTAGTACGTACCTGATAAAGTTGCTTCGCAAGTCTGCAATGCACGTGCTGTAGACATTCAGGACTGTCGAGGAAGGTCTCCTCGACGATTTACACAAAATCAGCACAAAATTCTAGGAGAGGAAGAGCGCGAAAAATCCTTACAACCGGACTCAGGTTGTGCAGTGTCGCGTTTGATTTGCGGAGCGTCTGCTCGCGTGTCAGTGCATAAGTGTCGCTTCGCCGCGCTTGCAACAGATGGCGCGATGCGCTTTTCAATAGGGCAGCAAGCACTGAGCTCACTGGGTTCTGGTGTATAACCGCAAGAGCGCCGCCATGATGGAACGATACTCGGCTTTCGGGTGATGTACGCTCGCACTCGCCACTGCATGGTGCAATAACTTCTGATATTTTTTTTTCTGTTTCGTGGACCTGTGTTGCAGTAAGAGACTGTCACGTATGGTCGAGTTGTTGGCTCATGGCAACAAAAAACACGGGCGACGAGGCGCAAGCAAGCCGGCAGAATCGGCCGCACGCCGCAAGGCCCCGCTCCCAAATGTTGATACGGTACACTTATGGTGGCTCCATATAGCGAAAAAAAACTGCAAACGCTTTTTTCCGTGCGCAGCGAATTACATAAATGACCATTGAATCTTTCCTAAAAGTAGTTGACATAAACATTACACAACTTCGGTTGGTTTATAATACGTGAACACACTAGTTTATAATTTATACTGCGAGAACCTGAGTGCTTTAAATCGGTGTATTCAGTGCTTTTTTCAAGTATTGTAATGGCAACAATGAAAATGGCCCAATATGTTGGCACTTTGGTGGTTATAACTTTTCTGGGCCAGCTTTTCCTCTAGAGTTTGTATATTAACAATATGAAAAATTGTGGTCACTTCATGACGCAGAACTAGGCTGCGATAACGTCGGCTGCAAAAACTTTCAAATTGTCTGAGTAGAACACGTGAAAACAAGAACAAAGAGTGAAAATACAAGCGCTTACATGCATTTACTCTTTCTTCGCAAAACTGCATAATATTTAATACAGTGTTTCATCCCATCACAATACTACAATGCCGGCATCGTGCATAGAAACGGCGTTTCTTTGGGTGATAAAAATATGTTGAAGGCGCTGACACATGACTGACCGACCTTTGTAATCAAGTTAGCTTCCATTTTTTTGTCTGAAACTGTGGCTCTTGTTTCTCCCTACCGCCCAGCGAAAATCGTATTACGGTTCACAAGGCTTTTCGCAGTTTAAACCGCACTTAGAACAATGTATTCCATCAGGAGTCCCTACGACGAAACTGAAAAAGTACGAAATAGACATCATTTTGTGTGAATACCCAGGGTATGTGTAACCTCCCCTATAGAGGATGTGGAAGTAGTTGGCAAGATATGATGCAGTGACCATGGAATGGTACAGCCTCTAGTTCACCTAGACTCAAGAAAAGAGCGGCACCAACTGATAAGAAAGAAGCTAGCGTTGAGAGAGAGAGATAGAGTACCGGATTTCAGTGTTTCGCTTGACATTATTGTTACGCACATGCACGAAGACAAAGAAGCGTATACGGTGAACGCACTTGTCGCCCAGAGTGAGAAAGAAAGAAGAGGACCAGAAGGATCTTTAACCAGTCGGCCGCTTCTGAGCTGCCCCTCACGACCTAATAAACGGCCTCTCTCAACGTCTACCAGTCTCTTTCAAACGTAACAGAGTGGTGGAGGAGCTGGGTAAGCGCTTCAACTACGGAACGATCACTGCCACAGCTTCGACGAAGCCGTCGACTTGCCGGTCTCCCACCATCTGCCATGAGTGACTTCAACATGCCCGAAGAAGCAGGCGTTTCCAGGACGGCACCGTCTGGCCCGCTTTCGTACTACCGAGTTCCACCGCCCTTCGGAGGAAAAGCCGAAGAAGATGTCGACGCCTGGCTCACCAAGTACAAACGTGTGGGCAAGTCCGACGGTTGGGATGTAGCCGCTATGCTAGCCAACGTTGTGTTCTCCCTGACCGACACCGCACTTGTATTGTACGAGAACCACAAGGACGCACTCACGACGGGGGATCTTTTTGCTGAAGAGCTCAGGGCGTGTTTAGGCTACTCGGTTGCTAGAAAGAAGCGGGCTGAGCAAACACTGTCCAACGGGCACAGCTACCAGGTGAGACATGCACCACTTACATAGAAGAAGTGTTAAGGTTGTGCAAGGTGGTCTGTGCTACCATGTCGGAAGAGGACAAAGTTGAGCATCTGCTCAAAGGGATTGCTGAGGACGTGTATAATTTTCTAATTGGAAAAGAAAGCCTCAGTTCTGTGTCCGACGTCATTCAGCATTGCCGAACGTTTGAAACGCTCAAGATGCGTCGAATTGCGCCCAAGTTTGGTCGGCTGGCTTACGTTACAACTGTTGCCAGTGTGGACACGAATCCTGGCCTCGACCTTTTTTCAACCATTCGACAGATTGTTCGTGAGGAACTGTCCCACCGAGAAATGTCGTGTTCGACAGCTGACCATCGCGAGTTGTGTCTGCCACGTGAGGATATGGATGTGCCTCCTTTTACCACATGGCAACCGACGATGAGCGCGGCAACTGTGGAGTACATACAGCCCAGCCCCACAGTCAAGGATGACAACCAGATTTCCCGCGTCGCGGTATGACCGACGCGCTCAGCGCATGCCTCCTCGACACCCGACGTGTGATGGAGCTGCGGCCGCCGCTCCTAAGCTGTTGGGCTACGGGGATCGAAATGAGTCTCACGATGTGTGACATCACGATGAAATTATTAGCATGTCATATCTCATGTGAGTTTTATTTCACCTTGCACGTATTTCTCATATCCATTCGTATTCATCATCTGTCACGCGTGACTCACTAGTTTACATACTTATTGTGCAGCCGTGGGCATACACCGTGCTGA